GATAGATAGATAGATAGATAGATAGATAGATAGATAGATAGATAGATAGATAGATAGATATAAGATGAGAGAGAGATGGAGGATATAGATAGATGAGAGATTAGATAGACAGACAGACAGATAGATATGATGGAGAGATAGATGATGGATGGAGATAGATAGACTGACTCTCTTTAATTGTTAAGGGAGTGAAAATCCTAATTTCCCAAAACTGTTTCTCTCTCTTGGAGAAAGACTTATAAACTTTCTTACCAATGTCAGAAGCCGAACGGCAAAAATCAGACCTATTCCTTGCCGTCTCACGAACGTTTAATCTAATGTGTTTAATGAAAAGACAGGCGCTTTTCGTGCATTCGTCCTTTTTTTTCTCTCTCTCTCTCTCTCTCTCCATTTTCAATTCCAGCTCGCTTCAACTTCACCCAGGTGGAGACTATTCTTGTAAGTCTAAGATAGCGGATGGTTGGGAGAAAAAAAAAACCTCAGCTTCGAAAAAGGCAAGTCTAAACAGAAAGTACATTTGATAAGGAGCCCAGTTATGGATGTGTTGAAGTTAACGGTTTGTTTGTTGTATTTTTTTTTTGCCATCTACTTTTCCTCTCACGCTGAATGTCCTTGAATCATCTCGGCTCCTGGGAAAAAAGGGCTGCAGAGCAGATGCAGGAGCAGCAGAAATCTCCCAGAATTTGCAGATTTTTTAAAAAAGGGATTTAAAAGTCTTTTGATGCAGGATCTAAGGTCCCCCCTTGTTGGAAGTTAAAAGGCCTTTGATCTGCTCACCTTCCCTTCCCCCCCCCTTCTGCATCTCACAGACTTCATCAAAGAACAGGAATCCCCTCAGGGGAAGGAAGATGCCAGGTCCCTCAATAAATCCACCAAGGGGGTGGGGGGAAATCTACAGGGGGCAGTCTTCCTTTCTGGATTTCCCACAGGAACAAAAGGGACAGGAGCCCCTCAGTCTTTTAACAGAATAACAGAGTTAGAAGGGGCCTCGGAAGGTCTTCTAGTCCAAGCTCAAGCCTGAGGCCCTCTGTACTATTTTAGGTAAGAGAATAACCCATTTGGAAGGGACCTTGGAGGTCATCTACTCCGACCCGCTCCTTAAGTAGGAGATCCTATGCCAAGGGACTTCAACCTTGGCCAGTTTAAGACTTGTGGACTTTAACTCCGATAATTCCTGAGCTAACATGGACTGGAGGAGGAATTCTGGGAGTCCACAAGTCTTAAAGCTATCAAGTTTGAAGACCTCCGAATTCTATCATCTGTCTGTCTGTCTGTCTGTCGGTCTATTGTCTCCCCATCCATCCATCCATCCATCCCTATCTATCTATCTATCCACCCATCCATCCATCCATCATCTATCACAAGGGTCTTCCAACTTGGCAAGTTTAAGACTTGTGGACTTCAACTCCCAGAATTCCTGAGCTAACATGACTGGAGGAGGAATTCTGGGAATTGAAGCCCACAAGTCTTAAAGCTGTCAAGTTTGAAGACCCCTGATCTATCATGTGTCTGTCCGCCTGTCTGCCTGTCTGTCTTTTCCCCATCCATCCATCTCTATCCATCCATCCATCATCTATCACAAGGGTCTTCAAACTTGGCCAATTTAAGACTTATGGACTTCCAACTCCCAGAATCCCTGAGCTAACATGACTGGAGGAGGAATTCTGGGAGTTGAAGCCCACAAGTCTTCAAGCTGTCAAGTTTGAAGACCCCTGCCCTATGCCATGCCAGACAAATGGTTGTCCAATCTCTTCTTGCAAACCTCCAGTGATGAGGCATCCACAACTTCTGGTGGCAAGTCGTTCCACTGCTTGTTCTACCAGGAAGTTTCTCCTTAGTTCCAAGTTGCTTCTCTCCTTGATTAGTTTCCATCCATTGCTTCTTGTCCTGCCTTCAGGAGCTTTGGAGAATAGCTTGACTCCCTCTTCTTTGGGGCAGCCCCTGAGATATTGGAAGACTGCTCTCATGTCTCCCCTAGTCCTTCTCTTCATTAGACTAGACCTACCCAGTTCCTGCAACTGTTCTTCATTCTTCCCCTAACCATCTTGGTTGCTCTTCTCTGCGCTCTTTTTAAAGTCTCAACCTTTTTTTTTTTACATTGTAAATTGGATGCCATTATTCCAACTGTGGCCTTAGTGAAGCTTTATAAAGCAGCATGAACACTCCACATGATCTTGATTCTCACCCTTTGTTTATGCAGCCTGGGATGGCATTGGCTTTTGGGGCAGCTGCTGCACACGGCTGGCTCCTATTTAAGTGATTGTCCACCGAGACTCCAAAATCCCCTTTCACAGTCTCACAGGCAGAGACATAGTTAACAAAGTCAGGGAGTGAGTAAGCAGGGCAACAGACCAGCCAATGGGAGCTGACAGCCTGGTGTTGAGAATTGAAAGTAAAACTAACTTTGTTTGCTTGCTGGAGCTGAGTTGTGCTCTGAGGTTTTGCTTACTGTTGCATTGAAAGAATCTATAAATGGAATTGTAAACTTTACTCATATCATTATGTTTATAAAGAAGTTAATGATCCTGCTGAATCAGTCACCTGTGTGTTTTCTGGACTTGAATTTCTGCTGGAAACTCTTTTTAACAGTGTGGCCTTCCACTCCCAGAACTGCTGGGGAATTCTGGGAATTGAAGTCTGGAGATCTTAAAGGAGCCAAGTTTGAAGACTACTCACCCACCCTGACCCCATGGTCCCTTTCTGTGGTCTCAAATGATGTGACAACCTCGCCATCTCCCAAACCAGATGGTGATGACCCAAAGGGGCGTGGCACAAAGAAAAACACAGTCAAATGAGCAAGAAGAGTCCCCTTTATTATCTCCCAACTTTGCCCCCAATGTCCAGGTTACCTTCAGCTGGAGAAAAAAACTCTCCCAGGTGGAAGGAATTCAGTCCGAAAACAAAGTACATACAAACTGTAAGTAAACATGCACACAAACCACACTACAGTAATTAACTGGACAGGGCGGGAGAAGGAATTGCAGACTTGAAAGGCCAGCAAAACACACACAGTTGGGAAGACGCCAGGAACCCAAGATAATTTACGATTTGCTTCCAACAACTTGCTGTGCACAGCTTCCCTTTTTAAGCACTGTGTTCCCAGCTGCAGCTAATGAAGGGAATCAGGGCCCTTTCCTCCCCCGTAAGCCATGCAACCCCTGTTGCTCCCTTCTCTGTTCCTCCCTGCGTGCCCTAGGATGAAGAGGGGGTGGGCCTGGGTCTTCCTCTGAATTCCCTCTCCTTTGCTCTACCTCTCTCCTGCTCTGCCCAGCCGGACTTTGCCCTTCCCCAGTTTCCTCCACAGCCAATGGAGTCATACTCCTGCTCCCTGTCGGCTGCTCGGCCTCCCCCTCCAAATCAGATTCCAACAGGGGCATGACCACAGATTTTGTTTCTTTCCAACATTGCATCAACATCTGAAATCCCGAATTGCGGGTCCCGAATTCGCAAATGAGTCATTCCCAATTGCTCCATAACTGAGATGCCCAGACATTGTCCAGAGTGGGCAAAGATGGAACCGCAGCCCAGGAGGAAAAAAAAAAATCGGTCCTGCCACATTTGTCTTTGGTGACCAATAAAACCACCGAACGGAATGGCCCTGGGGATGAGATGGGCATTAGATTTTAATAAAAGTCCCTGGAACTCTTCCGGCTGGCAGCATAAGGGGCACAGGCTTGGCGCCAACGGTTGGTACATCAAGGGTGCTTTGAATGCATCTTCTGGGACCCGATCCAGGTGCCTCGGGCTATTCTGCATGGCAAGCTGTAAGGAGCCCAGTCTTCCTCGTGAGTAAAGCATTCCGGCCCAGAGAAGCCACGGGGATGAATTTCTGTTAGAAAGCAAAGAAGGGAGATTAGGAAGAAGTGCAGAGTGGAAGGTACTAAAGCCCTGAGGGTGTTACTCAGTTTGGTAATGAGACGTCTGCAAGAAAACAACCAGGTGCAGAGAGCACCGAGGTGCCCATAGTCCTCCTCCTCCTCCCTGCAAACCCCACTCCCTTCTAGCATGGATGATGTTACCACCTTGGGTCATGAAACGTCTACAAGAAAACAATAAGGCTCAGAGAGCACCAAGGACCCCACAGTCCTCCCAGTCTTCCTCCAAAGTTCTCCTCCTCCTCCTCCTCTCTGCAAATCCTTCCCCCTTCTAGCTCTGATTATGTTACCTGATTGGGTAGTGAAACATCTGCAACAAAATATCCAGGCTCAGAGAGCACCAAGGACCCCACAGTCCTCCTCTTCCTTCCTTCCTTCCTTCCTTCCTTCCTTCCTTCCTTCCTTCCTTCCTTCCTTCCTTCCTTCCTTCCTTCCCTGATTATGTTACCTAGTTGGGTCATAAAACGTCTGCAAGAAAGCAACCAAACTCAGAGAGCACCAAGGATCCCACAGTTTTCCTCCTCCTCCTTCTCCTCCTCCTCCTCCTTCCTTCCTTCCTTCCCTGATTATGTTACCTAGTTGGGTCATAAAACGTCTGCAAGAAAGCAACCAAACTCAGAGAGCACCAAGGATCCCAGTTTACCTCCTCCTCCTCCTTCTCC